GCCTAGAAGAAGATGTGCTGGGCCGTACTCCCAAAATTCCTGGAGCCAGCACCACCTCCAGCCTTTCCTCTCCCCTTCCTAATCTTTCAGTGCAATCTCCCTGATGTTTCAGAATGAGTCCCTTGGTATTTCCCCTAATCTATCGTTTAAAATCTCAGGCAATAAAGCTTTCACCACTTCCCTTAGGGAGACGATTTTTCCAGCCTGTTCATCTCCATTCAAAAGCTTTCCACACTGATTCCCAGCTTAGACATGCCCTTCTGTAATTTCACCCCATTAAAATAATCAGTTTATCCCCAGCCTTCTCCCTTGATGCCAGTTGCTTCATCCAGACATCTACACATGACTGCTGTCTCCCTGCTCCGTTCACTAATTCCGCGGTGCTTAAGGCAGTCAGAATTCCTTTTCCTCTCTTTTCGCCGGTTCCTTCGGCCGCGGAGTTCTTGGAGCTCCTTCCCGTGTGTCATTCTTCCTGCAAATCCAAGGCAGATTCTCTCCGCCCTTGTCCTTGTGCTGTCCTGTACTCCATCCAAAACTGTTCCCGACTGCCTGTGACCTGCCTGGTGTCCTCCGGGTGTCTTTCAGGAGGCAAAGCACATTGTTCCCCAAAAATACAGGTTCTGGATGTTATTCACCCCATGGAAATGCAGGTTCTGGATGTTATTCCTCCCTTCCTCCATGGAAATGAAGGTTCTGGATGTCATTCCCCTCCTGGAAATGCAGGTTCTGGATGTTATTCCTCCCTTCCTCCATGGAAATGCAGATTCTGGATGTTTGCTTCCCCATGGAAATACAGATTCTGGGTGTTATTGCACCCCTGTTGAAAATGCAGGTTCTGGATGTTATTCCTCCCTTCCTCCATGGAAATGCAGGTGCTGAATATTATTCCTCCCTGGAAATGCAGATTCTAGATGTTATTCCCTCCCCTGGAAATGCAGGTTCTGGATGTTATTCCTCCCATTTGAAATACAGGTTCTGGATGTTATTCCCCCCCTGGAAATGCAGGTTCTGGACGTTTCCCCCCATTCCCCCTTGGAAATGTAGGTTCTGGATGTTTTGTCCTCCCTGGAAATGTAGGTTCTGGATGTTTTTTCCCTTCTGGAAATGCAGGTTCTGGATGTTATTCCCCGCTTAGTGCTTTCCTTGGTGCTGACATCACAAATGATGCACTCACCTTCCTTGACAATTTTTTTACATATTTGTGAGAAGTACCTTGGAAAGTACGAGTTTAAAAAATAATTGTGGAAACCTGAGTGTGTAGTTCTGCTTCCAGCTGCATCTCTCCATCTCTCCTAGTATGACAAATGCTTCTGGGGTGGCATGATGCCTGTTTTTCCCAAGTCCATGCCCACGATTTGGGTGGTGGTGCAGGTGGATTTCCCACACATTTCCCTGCTACCAGCCCTGGCACTGAGTCTTGCCATGAGCAGTGAATGCTTAAATCCTGAATTTCCCCGGCGCTCCTAGCCCTGATCAAGGCTTACGGACTGTGCTGGAATTATTTCCTTCCACCTTTCGGAGTCTCGGGAAACACCTGCAGCTGTGCAGGACAACCCGCGGGGCGAAGAAACGCCAGGACGGTGTTTGACGAGGGCATTACCATGTTAAAATGTGCATTACCATGTTAAAATGTGCCTTACAGTGATTAAAGTGTGCATTACAATGATTGAAATGTGCATTACAGTGTCGCTCTGATTGCACCTCACGGTTCCCCCAAGCAGCCCCCGGGGCTCGGGTCTCCAGAGGTGCCTCCCAAAGCCAAAGATCCCGGGATTCTGCGGTCTCAGGGAGCGCAGGATCGCCAGGATCGGTGTGGAAGGGAGAACGTGCTCCGAGTGTGTGACAGGGACAGTGACAAGGGACAAGGGACAGTGATAGGGACAGGGACACAGGGACAGTGACAGAGTGACAGGGACACTGACAGTGACACGATGACACAGGGCTGGTGACACAGGGACAGTGACAGAGTGACAGGGACACTGACAGTGACACGGTGACACAGGGCTGGTGACACAGGGACACAGGGACAGTGATTAGGGACTAAGGGACACAGGTGGACAGGGACACAGGGACACTGACAGAGGGGCAGTGACACAGGGACACAGGGACACAGGGACACAGGGACACAGGGACAGTGACACAGGCAAACAGGGACACAGTGAGAGTGGCACAGTGACAGGGACAGACACAGTGACAGGGACACAATGACAGGGACAGGGACACACAGGGACACAGAGACAGAGACAGGGATGTAGAGACACTGTAGCAAGGGGATACAGGCACACAGGGACGCAGGGATACAGGGACACAGGGACAGTGACCATTGACTCAGGGATACAGGCATGCAGACACAGGTGGACAGGGACACAGGGACACAGGGACAGTGACACAGGGGCAGGGACACAGGCATGCAGTGAAAATGACCCAGTGACACAGGGATGGTGATAGTGGCCCAGTGACACAGGGACACATACACAGGTGGACAGGGACACAGGCATGCAGTGACAGTGACCCAGGGACACAGGGACACAGGCAAACAGGGACACACTGAGAGTGGCACAGTGACAGGGACACAGTGACAGGGACACAGAGACAGAGACAGGGACACAGAGACACTGTAGCAAGGGGATAGAGGCACACAGGGACACAGGGACACAGGGACAGAGTGACACAGGAACATGACATAGGGACACAGGGACATGGAGACACAGGGACATAAAGACACAGGGACACAGGGACATGGGTACACAGGGAAGGGGACATAGGGACTCAAGGACACAGGGATGCAGAGAGACAGTCGCAGGGACAGGGACACAGGGACATGGGCATAGGAACAGGGACATGGACACGTAGGGATATAGAGACACAGGGACACAGGCACACGGGGACACAGGGACAGGGACACAGGGACACAGGGACACAGGGACACGGGGATGGGGACAAGGGGACAGGGACCCAGGGACATAGAGACACAGGGGCACTGGCACATGGGGACACAGGGACAGGGACACAGGCACACGGACACAGGGACACAGGCACACGGGGATGGGGACAAGGGGACAGGGACCCAGGGACATAGAGACAAGGGGACAGGGACAGACGGACATGGACATGGGGGCAGGGGCAAAGGGACATAGGGAAACGGGGACTTGGGGACACAGGGATACAGGGATACAGGCATATGGGGACAGGGACGCGGGGACACAAAGACACAGTGACAGAGGGGCAAGGGAACAGGGACACAAGGTCAGAGGGACACAGCGGGGCAGGGACACGGGGACACAGGGACAGGGACATGGGGACAGGGATACAGAGACGCAGGGACGCGGGGACACAGAGACACAGGGACACAGGGATACAGTGACACAGGCACACAGACACAGGGACACAGACACATGGACACACAGACGGACACACGGGGACACACACACAATGAAACACACACACAGACACACAGACATATGGAGACAGACAGACACACGGACACACACAGACAGACACACACACGGACAGACACACGGACAGACGGACAGACACACACACAGACACACACACACAGACACACACACACACACGGACAGACAGACAGACACACACACGGACACACACACACACGGACAGACACACGGACAGACACACACACACACACACACACACACACACACACTGACAGACACACGGACAGACACACACACATACACACATGGACACACACACGGACACACACACACGGACACACACACATGGACAGACACACGCACACGGACAGACACACACACACACGCACAGACACACACACGGACAGACACACGGACACACACGCACAGACACACACACACGGACAGACACACGCACACGGACAGACACACACACACGCGCACAGACACACACACGGACACACACACACACACGCACAGACACACACACACGGACAGACACACGGACACACACACACACGCACACACACACGCACACACACACACACACACACACACGGACACACACACACACACGCACAGACACACACACACGGACAGACACACGGACACACACACACACACGCACAGACACACGGACACACACGCACACACACACACGGACAGACACACGGACACACACACACGCACAGACACACGGATACACACACACACACACGCACAGACACACACACACACGCACAGACACAGACACACACACAGACACAGACACACACGGACAGACACACACACACGGATACACACACACGCACAGACACACACACACACACACGCACGGACACACACACACACACACGGACACACGCACACACACGCGCACACACACACGGACACACACACACGGACAGACACACACACACACGGACACACACACACACAGACACACGCACACACACGCACAGACACAGACACACACACACAGACACACACACACACACACGGACAGACACACACACACACACGGACACACACACACGGACAGACACACACACGCACGGACACACACACACACACACACACAGACACACACACACACACACGCGCACACACACACACACACACGCACGGACACACACACACACACACACACACAGACACAGACACACACACACGCGCACACACACACACACACGCACAGAGACACACACACACACACACACACACACACGCACAGACACAGACACACACACACACGCGCACACACACACACACGCACAGAGACACACACACACACACACACACGCACACACACACACACACGCACAGAGACACACACACACACACACACACACACACACACACGCACAGACACACACGGACGCAGCCGCACACGCGCCCCCGGCGCCGCTCCCGCCGTTCCCTCTCCGGCCGCGCGGGGTCGCTGCGGGGCGCGGGCGGCCCGCGCGGGCGCTCGCGGCGCGGCGGGCGGAAGTGACGGCGCGGCGGCCGCGGTGACATTCCCGGCGCGTCCCGGCGGCCGCTCCGGCTGCGCCCGCGGCTCCGGCTCCCCCGGCCGCTGCCCATGCCCCGGCCGCTGCCCGCGCCGGGCAGGCCGCGAGGGGCCCAGCCTCGCACAGGTGAGCGCGCTGCCGGGCGGGCGGGGGGCCGCGGGGAGGGGCGGTACCGGCCCGGCCGCCCCGGGCGCGGGCGGGGGCTGCGCCCCTCAGGGTGGTCCCGCCGCCGCCGCCGCCGCTGCTGCTCCTGCCCCGGCCCCTCCGCCCTCCTCTGCCCTGACCCCGCGGGGGCCAGACTCCCCACAGATCCCTGGAGCAGCTCGGGGGCCGCTTTGTCTTTCCCGGGACTTTTGTAACGTGCCTCTTTTTTTTTTTTCTTTTCTTTTTTTTTTCTTTTTTTTTTTTTTTTTTTTTTTGCTCTTCCTGCAACGACTTTTGAAGTCGTGCGAGCTGTTGGAGGGTTGGAGAGTAGCCCTTGTTTCTCCAAGGGGTCCCTTCTGTGCTTCTCCAGGGGTTTCTTTGCGTCTTTGTTTACCTTGGACGGTGTGTTCCTCTGGTGGGGAAATGTGTTTTCTATGGGAAGGACGCTCGAGTCGCTCGTTGCGGATCCAGCCCGGGTTCCCCTTGGGCTCCTGACATCTAATGGGTTGCAGATGTGGCTCCGAGCCGCACAGCCATCCGAGTGGAATATAAAAACTTAACTGTGCTACTGGTTCCCTTTTAAAAGCTAAACAAGGTGGTCTGAGCAGACTTGTAATATTTTAACTGTTTCCCCAGTTCCAGTACTGTAACTTTATTTGCCTGGAGGTTATTGGACAACAAAGGCCACTTTCTGAAAGACTTGTTGTTTTGGTTTTGTTTGTCTGGGTTTTTAAAAATTTAAAATTTATTTTTAGGGTTAGATTGCTCCCACCTTTGTTAAGTAGCATCAAGATGTATTTATGTCTTAGTTTGTTAACCGTGTAACGAGGCAGCTTGCCTCAAAGTTTGTGGGTCCCTTGGTGAATCTATAACTGTAATAACTTAGTTAAGCAAGGTCGTGGTTGTAACTAGTTGTGCACTTTAAACCAGCACAAAGTACCTAACGACACTTCAAAAGCTGAAAAAAAACTTGTGTGTCGAGATGGCAGGAGTCAGTCCTGTTTGACTTTTTTTTTTCCCCGACAAGTAATTCTAGCTTTTAAAAGTGAATGAGCAAGTAAATCTTTGAACCCTTAAGCATCCCTTTAAAAATGTAAAATTCATTTTCATTCCCCCTCCCAGGGATTTTATTAGGTATTAGATCTTCTCTGGTACTTGCCAAGCATCAGACCAAATAATAGTTTCACTTACAGCTTGAAGAGCTGTACTATTTCCACTCTCCGAGCTAAGAATTTAAGTACAAACAGTAATGCCTCTCCCCTTGGAACAGGAAACAAATGCTACATTTGAAATGTTTCTCTTAAAGCCTGCTAAGTTGCTTAAGGCTATTAAAAACACACTGTTTGACCTTGAGGTGGAAAATGAGCGTGGTGCTCCTTGGAGCTCCCCAGCGTGTGGCTCTCCTGCCCCAGTGCTCCTGCAATTGCTGCTCCCGTGGTTCCAGTGCTGGGATCCAGGCTGCCAGGGCAGCACAGCTTTCCCTGCTGCCCTGGAGGAGGGAGATGTGGCCTCTGTGGAGCAAACAGGTCTGTAGCAAACTGCCAGGGGAGCAGTGAGGTGCTTGTCATGTGTTTGTTAAACCCAGACATCCCCCCCATTTTTATACACATACATATAGATAGATAAATAGATATACGGTAGGAAAGCAGTGAGGGGAAGTGTGGGGAACTCATCTGTCCAGCAGCAGTTGTTCTTAGGAGTAATTTTCTGGTATTTCTCACCTCCAGTGATCTAGAGGAGGCTGGTGCTGTCCAGGCAAGCTCCAAAGGGGGTGGTTATGTGGCTGCTGAAAGCCAGTAAAGGCAGTTTTCTGTGGTTCTGGCTTTCCAGGGACACTGGTGCTCTGTGTGGGGAGCCAAGGGCAGGGAGGCAGCAGGTGATGGAAGGCAGTGTGTGAGTCTGGGCAGCTGGTATTGCTGCTCGAGTACATGAGGGCAGCAGTTCTGACTCATTTTGAAACACTCGAATTTTTTAATTACACTGTGTCAACTATTTTCTGTTTGCTCTCCAGCCCAGTTGCTGGCTGGCGTGGTGAGGAGGTGCAGGGAGCAGTCAGGAAGGAGGAAGGGCTGTGGCCTTGCCCGTCCAGCCGTGTGAGGTGTGTGGCAGTGCCGCTCTGCCTGCCCGGGGGGAACCACAGAGCACAGAGCAGGAGTGGGTGCTGTGGCGGGAGGGGGAACGGGAAGGAACCTGGAGCCACCCACGAGGCAGCTGGGAACAGCCACAGCACGCGGAAAATGCTGCCCTGCTCCAGCTGATAAAGAGGAGGCAGGAAGGGTGTTTGGGTGCCTTTGACAAATGGGCACTGCGGAGGGGGTGGGATTAATGGGGCGAGTTAAGGTTGAGTGAACAAAGAGTAAATGTGGATTATCATGAGGGGTTTGAACATCAAACATTAGGGAGATAAGTTGGTGTAACTCAATGAGAGCAACAAGAAATAATTGCCTTGGCTGTCCTGACCTCCTTCTTCTTGCTGTATATTTACCTTTAAAATGCAGGATTCTTTGCCTGGATCCTATTCACTTTCTTCCCTTTCCCTTGTATGTTATCACATCAACTCCCTGCACCACCAGGGATGTATGTGCCATCTTTGACCTGCCTGTACATCAACATCTCACTGAAACATCTGCTAATGAGATGGGGGGGTCTGTATGTACCACACGGGGAAGGGGCTGCACACTGAGTGATCCAACTCTCTGGTTACCTCTGACCAAAATACCACCAGTTATCTAAAGATATGAAAGCTTTGGAAAGTTTTCAAATTACTAAATAGTTTCAAGCAACTTACACATACTTGTCTATAACATTTCAAACTCGTTGTGTTCATGGTACTTTTTGACAGAATTGGGCCTGTGGTCAATCTCAGCTTCTGTGTTTTTATCTGCAGCTGGCAGAATGGCTTAGAAAACTGCAACCATTGACAGAAACTGAGCAGCAGATTTAATAACACGTGTGCTAGATCAAACTAAAAGATTTAAATATCATATTTACCAGCATGTAACTTGTACTCTGTAAAAGAGTTACTAGAACTTGAATATTTTTGCTGGCTTGAACATTATTGGTGGTGATGGGAGCTGAAAATGAAGCAGCACTGGGAGAGGGGGACAGGCATAGCGCTGGGAAAGAGCTCCGAGATAAAGTGTGGTACAGTGTGTGTCGCTGCTCTGAGATCACCTGATGTGGAAGGGAAACAACTTTTGGTTTTCCAGAACCAAAGTAAGTGTTCAGCACATGAGTGGGAGTTCAGCCTTTATCACTCTTACTCAGGAGCAGCCAGAGTTATGATACTGGAATCTGTGGCAGCAGATGTTAATTGCAGAGAACTTGGACAACAAATCACCACAGAAATAGTACTTTCTGTCACATCTTTGTTCCAGGTTTTTAATGCATATTGCAGTTCTGAGTCTGCTACTTGGGGTTTAGAACACAGCGTCCACAAATGTGCAATTTTGAGCAAAGAGAGAACTGGATGAAAGGGACTGTAAATCAGGATGTGCATATGGTCTAAACATTAGCCTGTGCTGTTGCCTGCTCTGACGGGCGCAGTCCCCCTCTGAGCTGAGCTGAGTGACTGATGCCTCATCGCTGGCTCGGTGTTACTGTTTAAGGCTTCAGATGTAATCTGTGCTTGCCCATTCCCGCTGGTTCGCGTTGCCTCTCCCGCTGTCTGATGGGCGTGAGTGGAGCCTGTAGCGGTTTCTCCTGGATGTGGCTGGCTCCCTGCAGCTGGGCACACGCGGGTTCCTCACGGGGTGGAGATGAGGTGCAGGTGTTGCAGTGACACCGTGTCCGATGCGTTACTGGCTGCTCCAGGGGGCCGAGTAACTTGCCCGTGGTCATGAGGTGTGTCAGCTTTATGCTCAGTGTGATTCACCTCATTATTTAAGAAGGTGTCCCGGGGTTTTGTAGCAATTTGACCACACAGTCTGTCTCTCCAATGCTCATAAATGATCTAAGTAGCAGAACAGAGTACACACTTCAGCCTTACCATGCCTCGTGATATTTGGGCTCCAAGAAAACAGCTTGGAAGCTGTTAATATTCAGTCTGACAACTTTTGAGTCATAAGTGGAATGCTGGTCACTTTTTAAATAAATGCAAGGTTTTGAAGACTTCTTCAAGCTCACATTCTTGTTTCAGTTTGTGTGTATTGTGGATTTGACATTATAGTGAGGATTCTGCAGTGTCCTGCAAGATGCTCTTCTGTGTGATGCTTCAAAATTTCCTGAAAATGAGCAGGAAGACCCAGACTTTGATTGTTCCTCTTGCTACCTCTTTGCTCTAGTGTCTTGTTTCATGGTACTTGATGGTTAGCATTTCACAACTTACTTTAGAAAAGGCAGATTTCAGTTCCATTCATCCAACATGGGTAGAGGCCAAGTGACTCACAGTAACAGAGCTGGGAATAGCAAAGAGCCAGACTTTATAATATCAGTTGTCTGCATGATGAAACAATTACCATTTCAGTAATTTGTTTTCCACTGGGACTGTTGCATTTCGGTGGTTCCAGTGTGAGGCTGGTGCTCAAACACTTGAAGAAAAAAAATAATCGTGTTGTTCTGATAGCAAGGTGGGGCTGAACCAGTGCCCTTCTCTTGTTCTTTGGATTTCTCATCAGCTGGTAATTCTCCTGGCTCCTCAGCTCACTCTCCTGGTTCATGCTCCCTTGGAATGCCAGATCTTGCCAGAAAGACATTTCTAAGTAATCTGGCAATTTCGGGAAAAAATCTTGGTAAAGAGCAGATCAGGAAAGTTGTCTGTTAATTCTGTCTGCTTGTGGTTGGAAATGCAATGATTTAAAGGCTGCCTCCTAATGAAGGAAGTTGGGTGAAATGCCTGTGAGGTCTCCTCGTGTTTGGTGAGAAGTTTTTTGGAAATGAAGTTGCCCTTGTAGGAAAGAATGGTCTTTTCGGTAGTGGTGCCCGTGAGCCCATGAGTGCAATTTCTGTGTCCAATAACTAAGATTCATCCAGAGGAGGTAACA